GTAAGGCATGCCCCAAAAGTAAGACCTGGTGCTTCTTTTGGAGGCAAAAAAAAAAAAAAGACCCGGTCTTATTTTCGGGGAAACACGGGTATATATATTGACTCCAGATTTTGAGGTGGTTGTGGTTATGAACAGATCTGGTAAGCATGCGCCTAGCTTGTTTGCCTCCCTATCAAACATTCCTCCTAAATCCCGTGGACTACTGCGGTAGGTAAAATTCTTGGAGATTCTTCTCTTTCAAACAATGATTTGCTGATCCATTTGCTGGTTCTCAGTGCTCCTGAAATCACCACGGAGGGCTTTCCCTTCACCTTCCAACTTTCTAAGACTTAATATTTTTGAACACACAATACCTGAAGAAATTTCATTCAAAAGAGGAACTCTGCCTAACAAAGGTGGACTTTGGCATTCACCAAACAACTAATCTGTGGCTCCTGGTCAGTTGAGGAAATACACAATGAGGTATCAAATGCTACAGCATAGCAACGGATGGAAACTTGCATAGCAAGAAGCAATGGATGGAAACTAACCAAAGAGAGAAGCAACCTAGAACTAAGGAGAAACTTCCTGACAGTTAGAACAATTAACCAGTGGAACAACCTGCCTCCAGAAGCGGTGAATGCTCCAACACTGGAAGATTTTAAGAAGAGACTGGACAGCCATTTATCCAAAATGGCATAGGGTTACCTGCCTGAGCAGGGGGTTGGACTTGATGACCTCCAAGGTCCCTTCCAACATTATTATTATTGTTGTTGTTGTTGTTATTATTATTATAAATATACTTCCCAGATTGTATGCTCTGCATATTTAAATGATTTGACTATAATGAATGTCTCAGACAGAAACCTCAAACATTAATAAATATTACTGGCCTATACATCCCCATTCTGTACTCAGTGATAATGCAGGGTAAATCAGCCTTCCATATTTTTACACCAGGCAACAAGCATTTCTCCTCGGTGTCCAGGGTTGATGGGGGATTACAATGGTTTCCAGGCTTCTGCAAGCTATAGTCCTGGATCCTCCAGATCTGGCAGAGGAATTATGTGAGAAAGGATTGCCAAAAGATTTGGATCTCAAGGTCATCTCTAGTGGACAATATTTGGAGGGGAACATCTGGGCAAGTAATGATATTGGCATACTGATAAAACAATATCTTGAGAAAAGTGTTGTGGTACTAGGTCATGTAATTTCACATGTAACAATGACAGAACTGGAGAAAATAAAGACTTAGCTTTGATTATTAGTGGTTTCCCAAAGATATTAAGTCACGCTGAAGCACTTGGCAAGAGATGTTAACTCAGGGGGTGTCAAACTGCCGGCCCGCAGGCCGGATGTATCATGGCAAAACTGCGCCCACCCCATTGCTGGCAATGGAAAAAAAGTCACGATACGTTGTGACACGTCACATGATGTTGCGAGTTTGACACTCCTGTGTTAACTGATAGTACAGAGCAATGGGATAAGTCAACTTATTTTAGCCTTTCATGTGACAACATCACTGGGGGACACTGTTTTTAAAGTTATTTTGTAGTGCAAAGTATTCTTTTTCTCCAACATTAGTAATATCCAGATTTATCTTCCAGTGATTACTTCCCTCTTAAAGGAATCTTTGTTCCATCATTTTCATGAAGAAGTTTTTAAAGAAAATAAACATCAACCATAAAGTGTCTTTAAAAAGAACCAGAAGCAGGCAAGATATTTGAGATATCTCAACGGTTGGATTCTGGATAAGCTTTTGCCTGAACATCAGATATGATGAGGTGATCAAAGATTGAATGGCAATGGTTTCTAGGACTGCAACAGCTGGAAAAATTATTATCATGATGTCAAAACCATTCAGGGATGCCTGTGATCACCCAGAATAGGACTCTAATAGAAGTCGAACATAAAACAGTTGTGTAATGTGGCTGCAAAGAAATTTAACATGATTACAGGCCAAATTAATAGACAGAAGCACAGTTTCAAAGTCAGGGGAATAATAACTCTATTATATTCTGGACAAGTCAGAGTCCATTGGAATTGGGCAGCTGTAATAAATTTAAATACATGCATACATACATTTTCAGGAATCAAAAACCTCACTTGAGTTGAGCAGGACTGTGGATAACTTCACGGACATATTCATGTTGTTTTCTTGGCAACACACTACTGGTTTGCTGTTGCCTGCTTCCAGAGAATTTTCTGGACTTTTTAACCTAAAGTCCAGAAATTTCCTGATGGTGCCCCATCCAATGATTAACTAGGTTCAATGTTGCTTAGCTTTTTCAAGGTCAGCTAAGAACAGTTTGGGGCTGCTGTATTTTTTTCTTCTTCTGTCCAATTCTCAGAGTTTACCTGGATAAGTCCCTGCAGTTTTCTTGGCAAGGTTTTCAGAAGTGGTTTGCCATTGCCTCCTTTTTAGGGCTGAGAGAAAGAAACTGGCCGAAAGTCATCCAGTGGGCTTTGTGCCTATGGCAGGACTAGAATTCACGGTCTCCTAGTTTTTAGTCTGATGCCTTAACCATTACACCGAACTGGTTCTCACTGTATGGGAACTAATACATTCAATTTTAGGCTTGTACTTTAAGAAAACTGATGATGAATAGCAATGAAAAAAGATTTAGCCTAGAGAAGTAAGGATGAAAAGAGAAGGGTGGGAACTAATTGGAATGATTACACTATTCAAATATTTGAAGGACAATGTGAGACAACCCCATATTATGGGGCGGAAAACACTTTGAGTACTTGTGATTTATATCTTTACAGATATAAACTCTGAACAGATACACAGCCTGCATTTTACTTAAAGTACACATTCTTTAGTTGATTTCTTTTTCTTTTCACAATAATCCCTCTCAGAACTGGGCAAATTCGATTTTGTGAGTTACAACAAACTTCATCAGATGCTCTGTCAATTGTGCTTTTTAAACTTCTGCCTAAAAGTATGTCCTTTGGGAAAAGTGAAAGTTAAAAGATCTGGGGGGGGGAGAAGCCTTTAAACCTCAAGACTATGAAATGTAATGAAGTTAAAATTAAACACACATGATCTAAATCAGACTAATTCAAACCAAAAATACTTTTGTTCAAAGATTTTGTTTTCAACTTTATAGCCAGGCAAATATTTCTTTGGCTTCTGAAGATGCAAATAATGTGATCATAAATGATAATTTATGGGATTTGCAGCTTGAGATCAGAAGCCTAGCATAACTATGCAAATCCAAAGAAATGTACATATATTAGTTTCCCATATAATTTTGTCATTTAGCCATACTTGTTATTACAATTCCAATCTTATTTATAACGATTATTATACAGCTTCTCAGAAAATCTATATTAGCATTTTCATCCTAGCTTCTCTAAAACAGTGACCTTGTGCTTACAGGCCTAAACTAACCCCCATGGGGTTATACCAGGGGTCTTCAAACTTGGCCCTGTTATGATTTGTGGACTTCAACTCCCAGAATTCCTCAGCCAGCGAGTTGAAGTCTACAAGTCATAAAAGGGCCAAGTTTGAAGACCCCTGGGTTATACCTTCCCCTTGAAAAAAAAAACATGCTGTCTTTAGAGCAGGGGTGTCAAACTGCCGGCCCACAGGCTGGTTTTATCATACTAAAGCTGCGCCCACCCCATTGCCAGCAATACAAAAAGAGTCACGATATGTCACAACACGTCACATGATGTGATGAGTTTGACATCTATGCTTTAGAGTGACTCACCTAAAACCCAACAAGGGTCTTTAAAAATAATACTTAAGTATAGCAATATAAAGAACAGTTAAATGAGTTTCTGCAGCTATGTTTCTGGGTTATCTGCTAATTTGTTGCTCATTAGAGCCTGATATTTTGACAGTGCACTTTATATTATTTTGGTTTTAATGGAAGCTGCTCTGGAAATTCTGTATATTGAAGAGACACCAATTATCAATGCAGAAAAGAAGTAACAACTGATATTCAAAAAAACTCAAAAGTGTCTAGCTCACTGTAGTGGATTGAGAGAACATACCAAATCTCACAGTATTCTCATTCTGATTGCTCTGTCATGGTTTGTGACTAAGAGTATGTTCTTCAAACCTAGCCAATAATGGTTTATTCAATAAGCTATTATTAAATATTCTGTGGCTTAGTGAAACATAAACCCAACCAGTAAGAGTTTTCCATGCAGATTGCCAGGGAAATAATTTTAGGCAGAAGAGCTGAATGCAAAGTTTTTCCTTGGGATTCTGGATCTCTGGAACCAGCCCTAATGAACCATCCCTGCATGAAGCCTTATATTGAGATCATATCCTTTGGTGTCTCTCTTGGGTGGAAAACAAAATTTTAAGAGACAGCAGGGAAGGGGCGGGACTGCTGCTTCTAAAAGTTTACAACCAGGATTATCCACAGAGTGTGGTAAAAGAAGTCAAAATGGCAGCCACAATTGTAATTCAATGATCCATCCATTTTTTAACAGATGGAGCTTTAATCTTACTATGGTGGCTACCATCTTTACTTTTGTGATGACAACTTGTGGTCTCTGTTGGTTCTAACTCTCAACTCCAGCACTGGATAATTTATTGTGTTATTCCAAAGCCAGACTTGGATGGATGAGAACTGGTCCCAGTATTACAAATCTGGAGCTGGAAAGTGACTCATTGCTGTTAGTGATTGATTTCTCTTGGTCTTTTTAGTGGCTGCCTGGAATAACAAACACACCAAGAGGGCCAGCCTTGTGCCATCTGCACTCCAACTCCCTCTAGCTGCAGCCTGTCTTCTGCCAAAAGCTGGCTTGATCTGTGCCATGAACCCAGTGGTACATTTGCAGGTGTCCCTGAATTGCAATGCCAGTGACTTCATAGGACTCAGCTGGATCCAGAAGCTCCAGAGATATGTAGTCATAGATAACGTAACAAGGAGGACCATTCAGCATCTTGAAGACAATAATGGCTTTGCATGCCACTGCCTCCACCAACACTACCAGTCTCCCTCCTCCTCCCCCATTCCAATGCTCCAGCCAAAGCGAGAGTTGGACTTCAGGCAAATGAATAGCAGGTCTGTTCCAGGAACGGCACTTTCCCTCCCACTCAGCAAATGCTCTGGAGAATCCAGAAGGCTACCGAGACTTGATCTCTTATGTGGGTTCAAGAGGACTAAGGAGAAAACCTGGGGAGACTAAAGATGGGATCAGAAGGAGAAATGATCAACCTTCACGTAAGTGTTTCTTGGCCATGAACCAAGAGAGAGGGTGGGTAAGGAGCAGATCCTAATTCTTCTTCCTCATGATTCCTTTCCATTTTTTTCTGTCTTATTTTGATGCTTCTTTGGTTTTTTTTTTTTTCCTCTTTTGCTTTCCTTGCTCTCTCATTGGAGCTGATAATAGGATCCACAGCCTATGTTCTTCTCATCCAGGGATTGATTAACATGCACTGATAATAAAATTGAGAGGCAGGGAAATGAAAGGAGAACTATCAGGGCTTTCTTAAAAGGACAAGCAAATGAAGGTAGCCTCATTTTTTTTTCTCTACCAGCTGGAAAACTGATTTCACCTCTGCTCTTTCTCAAAAAGCTCCTCTGTGCCTGATTAAGAAAATGCTCCTGAAATGTTTGTAGGAAAAGAAAGAAACAAAGCAATAGCTAAGCAAGAAAAGGAGAGAGATGAATTCCCATCTAGGATTCCTGAGGAAATACAACCTCTTCATCCAGCCATTTGACTGCTCCTTAATGTTTGTTTGACAAGGAGTGTCTGCTTCCTCAACTTGGCATCCCTTGAAAGGTTGATGCTTTTGGTCAATGGGCTGAATTTTAAGAAAAAAAATTCTAACCAGCGAAGTACCTAGCAAAGTGAAGAAAGGGAGCATTCAGCTTAAGAGAAGAGCGATAGACCATAACATGACTTTAGGATATACTGAGGTTGCAGTTAGGGTTACCTGGCTTTGGCAGAGTTAACCTTGTCTCCTAAGGAACGGGGAAGAAACAAATCTACCCACTTGCAAGCAAACCTCAAATAACCATCTGCCCCCCGCTTCCCCCCCTCAAAAGCAAGTACCATCAAGACAGTACAAGAAGACAGAAAGCATGGGTTCACTTCAAATGATATGTGAGAGATACAACTTTTCAATGCTACCTTGTGTAAACTTTCTTCAAGTGGAAAACAACTACAGGTATATCAGGATGAGAGGTTCTAGTCCTGTTTTTTTTTGATTGCCATAATAGTTTTCTACTTTTAGGAAGGATATTTTTAAAAGGAGATCTTCCAGATGGGCTATCTTTATGGACTTAATTTCATTGCTTTAGGCCATTACAATCCACTGAAATGCAAACTAACCATTCCATCAAATTCATACAACAATATGTTTATTTACTTACAAAATGATTGTGCCATGTCAGCCTAGCTGAGCAGTTGGAAGAAGCTGCTTGTTCATCTCTTTCTGCTGCAGGCCTGAATATTCAGCTGTATTCCCAAAAGATTGATTTATTTGGCCATGGGTTTGAAGGCTAACATGGCGTTGAAAGAAAAATCTTCATCAGGATCCATTCCAAGATGGAAATAAACAAAAGATGCTTTAGAAGAAGGAGACTGCTTTAGAAAGAAGGTTGTAGTTTATTGAAGAGGAGAGCCAGACAGAAAGATGGCTCTGGGAAAAATGGCCACATGTAGCTGGGAGTGTTGGGTTTTTATACCTTCTTGAGCTCTTGTTTCCTGTTCCTGTTTGAGGCTTTATATTTCCTGTGTCATGTACGTTGACCTGAGTCTGAGTGTGCCCTTTTGGTGTTGGTGGGTTAATCCTATTATCTCCCCAGTAGAATTTGGGTGGGGTATGTAGATTTTAGAGGTCTTTGTCTTCCTAATCTCATCAGCTTCTAGTTTCCTGGCTCCAACCTTCCTGAATGGATTATTGCATTTGCATTTCTAAAAGCTGGCCTCTGCCTAGTTTCTGCTTGGGGAAGAGGGGCTGGGGCTGGTTTCTGTCTTTTTCAAGCTCTTCTCCATTATTCCTTTGGGGAAATATATTCTGCCTTTTTAATATTCCCCCAAATATTTCTTTCTCTGGATTCTTCCCACAATGGCTTTTGAGACATGAAGCCCGTTCCAGGATATAAGGTTATGTCTCTTCTCCTCCTTAACAGGGAGAGCCTGACTACCATTTGTGCTATATTTAATACTTTGGGCTACCAAATTTGAGCTGCAAAAAGCCAAATGACCACTAATGGCAGCAAAGAAGTACAGATAACTGGAATATCTGTTGCCAGCTTGTGGCTATTTGGATTTTTGCAGTCTAGATCCGATAGCTCTAAAACATTTTGCTTGGTCTGTTGTGTGTTGTTATAGGGACGCCTTTGATGAGTTCTTGCAATGCAATTTGTCCCGAAATGAAGTTAATACTTTACTGGTTGGAATCATTCAAATGAAATACATCTCACTAGTTTTTTTTTTAAAAAAATCTGTTGCTCTTGGCTTGTTTCTAGGCCTGGTTTTGGCGTCATAAGGACCACATTCTTCCACACAGATCTGCACAAGCAGCTGCTTTTTTCATCAGGTCCTTACACCATTGGAGAGGAGATGTTTAGGACCAGCAAATGTTTGTCAGAACCAAATAGATATTCATTTAGAATATTTTGCCTCAATGTATATGGAAAATTTCCACTGGCCCAAATCTAATTCTGCATACAAACTGGCTTCAAGGCCAATAAGTTTAATTTTGTTTTAAGGCTGCACTATAACTTACAATATTGTGCAACGTTTGCTCATTTATATTTTTGGGCTGAAGAATAAGACAGTGAATGCCCTCAATAAATGAATGCAAAATCACATAACAACAATGATTATAATATAAAAATCTGTGTTACAGACTGCTTCCTTTTTTCAGAACGATTGTTTTTCAGAATTTCCTGTGGAAAGGCAATGACATTAAACAAGTTAAATCTGGATATGATCTGAATTCCTATAAATAGGAAACATAAAAAATGTTTCCAAGAGATTTTTTTACCAGCTCCAGGTGCTTGAATCTTGATGAGAAAGAGAAGTCGTCCTTGACATAATACCTGTATAGCAGAATAACCATGTTTAGAGCAATGTGCTTGCAACTTACCGGATCTACATTATGCCAGAGGGCTGTTGCCTACACGTTACCTACCTTGAGAGCATCTAAGAACCATCTGGTTGGTCACTCTCATTAACGCTCCCAGTCTCTGTCTTGAGACTGATGCCACCACCGATGCAGGCAGTGCATGCTAGGGAAGGGCACCAAGCATTAGAGGGCAGAATTGTATCTATTATACAATCTGGCTGCATTTTCCAATGGAGGCTGCTGCCCTCAAGTGTGAGGGTGGCACTGGTATTTTTACAATTTAGTGATTTTATCTTAAAAGTATGTTATAATGCACTTCATGATAAATTGGATTGAGAATCCTCTATCTATCCATCCATCCATCCATCCATCCATCCATCCATCCATCCATCCATCTATCTATCTATCTATCTATCTATCTATCTATCTATCTATCTATCTATCTATCTATCTATCTATCTATCTATCATAATCAATAATAAAGAATATGAAGAAATAGCCCTTCTGTCTTTTATCTGAAACAGCTAAAATCTTGGTTGATCCTGTCATAAAACTCATCCAAGTGAGTTTTAAACCCAGGTACAGATAGCCCCCATTTAGCAACCACAAGTGGGATCAGCAACTTGGTCATTAAGTGAAGTGGTGGCTACGTAGTAGAGCTTGTGATCTAACCCAGGGATCTTCAAACTTGGCCCTTTTATGACTTGTGGACTTCAGCTCCCAGAATTCCTCAGCCAACTTGCCTGAAGTCCACAAGTTATAAAAGGGCCAAGTTTGAAGATATCTGATCTAACCTCAGCTTTCCTTTGCTTTACAGACCTGCAAAGGTCATAAATGCAAGGATTGGTCGTAAAGTTACTTTTTCATTCTCCCTGTAATTATGAATGGCCATCAAATGGGGCAGTTGCTAAATGAGGATTGCTTGTATGTTGCGAATACAACTCCCAGAATTCCCTTCTGCAACACCAATTGGGAATTCTGGGAACTGCAGCCCAAGCCCTTCATGAGGCTATCAGCTTTGGAAAGCTGAATTAATTTCTCTTTGCTGATTTAAAGTCCATTTTTTCCATGGAGCCCAATATTCTTTTTGGCCATGAATGCTAAAATTATGACTCACAATCTATGCTTTGGAAGAAAAGAATTAGTCAGAAAATGTTACAGAAGAAATAAGATTGAGAAATTTAAAACTGTAGAAATACCTGAGTGAATAAATTGCTTCCTCCAATCTGTTGCTTTCCCCTTAGGAAATTGAAGAAGTTGTTCATTTACTGCAAACAGGGGAAAAAAGTAACTTTATTCATAGAAATAGTTCTTTGTATGCCTGCCAGATTTGTCCATACACTGGGAATAAATATAGTGACCAGCCTCACAAATGGGAGCTGAGACTATTTATGCTCAAGCATTTTACACCTGGGAGTATCTGTCTGCTCAATAGTAATTATTTTTGAATTGCAAACAGAAAACTAATCCATAGGTTAGCATTTGTCATGTTAGCTGGAAGTCACATATTCTCTAATGCAACCAAATCCATACTGAATTCATTAACCACTTAAGGAATTTCCTAATTTGACAAGATATAGTAAACTAATAAATATTAGATTAAAAGTAATATCAAAGTGCACAGTCCAGGGTCTAATCAAAGTAAGCACTTCAAAAACTCAAGATTAATATAATAATTGCTGGTCCTTGCAGTATATGTAGAATTGCCCTCTGTCCTGTTCCAAATGAAATCATTGAGAGAGTTAATTATAGAACCTCATTCTGTCTAAATTGAAATTGATGGGATTAAACAATCCTTGATTTTGGCTGGATTGTCCAAACATTCCATTTTCCCCTATTAAGCAAGTGAAAAGAGTGGAAAAACCTCTGCAGGTTTGTTTGTTTTACAGTTTGTACGTGAAATTTCAACTTTTCTTTATGGTGTGGTATCTAACAAATATCCTAAAGGAGTTCAGAAGTGCTAAATCTGAATGCTTAAAATTAATACAGGATTTTAGACATTTTAACAAAGGACTGCCATATTTCACAGCACCTTATATATGTGAAAATTTGCAATGCATCATGGGGTGGAAGATGGGAGGTTAATGCCCAACTGCAAGGTTTTATTCGCCAAAACTAGGGGTAAGGTGGTAAGATGATGTG